TACAACGAACTGATTCGATCGTCAATTTAAAATATTTACACAAGCGGATACCACAAAATCTTATTTTATACTTGATGAAAGTATTAAAAAGACTTTGCGCAACGCGGTTGTACGTCGCACAAACAGCCTTTGCGTGACGCATTGGCTGGTACGTCGCGCAAAGTTATATTTTAAATAACCAAATGACATCCAAAATCCAAACCTAACCCCTCTGATTTTCATTTTAATTCTTCCGAACTTTGATTTTTTTTTATTTGCATTGTATGTTTTGAAAATTTGTTCTAAACCGAACCAAGATTACAACACACACAAGTGACAATCCATCAATGCTATCAATGCACAGCTCTATAATTACCAATGGTTGTCTCCACAAAGACCGATGCACACACTTTAGTATACTAATAACCACATGAATCCTGATTGTATAAATACCATTCACACTCACAAGTTGCTTTAAGAATTAAACGTGTTTAAGAAGAAAACATATCAATTACATAGAATTCCCTTTTAGAATTCGGAATAATGTAATGTCGAACAAAGAACTTCCAACTAAAATTCTCCAAAGTTTTTCACATTTTTTGAATCATGAATAACCCTCCAACTCACATTAAGAAATTGAAACACTTGATAACCCCCAATTTTCTTAGAACAAAGAATGAACACATCTATCACTATATTAATCATGAATTTAATTTCTGCATATTTTGATCCCAACAGGTAATTAGTCATTCACAAACAAACAAAAAAGATCAAAATTTTCAATATATTGGGTAATATTAACCAAAATTTCAATACAATCATATATAAAAATGGAAGAATACCATAGAGGTTTTAAATCACCTGAGTGTGATCAGGCGGTTATGGAGGTCTGCAGGTAAGGAAGAGGGGAAGGCAACTATGAAGCTTTTGACTTGTGTTAGAACACATGAAAGAAAGATAAGAAGTGACATTTCCGTGTTGACTTTGCGCGACGAAGCTAGGCGTCGCGCAAAGCTGTTTTGCGCTACGTAGGTGCACCTTGTGTCGCGCAATACAACTTTGTACGATGTAAGTGCACCTGCGTCACGCGAAGTTGGGGAAAAAAAGGGTAAAGCATTCTTGGTTTGGCGTTAAAATCTGGCGCAAAAGGTCTTTGCGCGGTGTAGGTGAACCTTCGTCGCAGCGCGACGCCAGTCTTTGTCACACAAAGACTGTTTGCGCAACGTTTTGTGTTTAGCGTCGCGCAAACATACTTTGCGTGACGAAATTTGTTGTGTCACGCAAACATGTTTTTGTACTAGTGTAGCGTGCGTCTCCCTTGGCTCCACGTGATTGCCGATGTATAAATCTCCCACATAAGGGGCCGTGTTGAATCCCACATCGACGGTACTAAAATTAAGTAATAGTTTAAATATTTTCACTTCACTTTAACTAACACTGAGACCTTTTGTGATAAAACCTCACACCTGACGGATTGTGCAGGTGATAATTACTAAGTTGGGGATAATATCGATGTTGTTGGAAGTGGGTCTTTGGCCTGTCTCTTTGATAATTCTACATGGTATCAAAGCTAGAGAGCGGCCTCGTATTGCCACGTGATGGGTGGGTCCCCTTGGCCCAGTGCGATGATGGTGGGTCCATTGGCCTTGCATGCAGAGGTGAGTCCATTTGGCTCCACGTGGTTGCCGATGTGTGGATCTCCATGTGTGACCCACAAAAATGGCGTTTCATGTGCAGGGGCGTGTTGAATCCCCCATCGGCTAGAGGGAAAGGAGAAAAGCAATTTAAATAGAATTACCTCACTCTAACTAATACCGAGGTCTTTTGTGGTAAAACCACGCAGCTGACGGATTGTGCGGGTGATAATTATCAAGTTAGGGACAATATCGGTATTGTTAGAAGTGGGTCCTCGGCCCGTCTCTTCGATAATTCTACAAATAGTACTTTCGAATGAACCCTAAATTGCCCTCCAGCTATAGCAACATACAATTTAACTAATTGTAAAGAATTTTTTTGTTATATATGTGTATTCAATCATTATTATTAATGAAATTTAAATTCAGAGTATTTCTTCTAACAAATTAATAAAGTTTAGAGGAATATTGGTTACTCGCATTGTAAACTGTTATTGGTATGAATTTACGTAGAAAATTACAAATCGCGCACAAATAGAAAGTGATGGCAACGTGATTGGAATCTTGATAAGACGACAGACAAGGCAGAAACCTTTCGAACTAAGCCACAAAGTATATATAAATTGTTTTACTATCATTAGCTAGCTATTAAAATAATAGTCGACATACAAAGAATCAATTTCATCACGAACCAGGATCCTCTTTTGCAGCAGTTCTCTAGGAATTCTATGGGTCCCGCAATCTTATCCGTTCATTTTATATCGTGCGGTCAGTTTTCGTTAGATACTATTTATATTTGAATTTTAAAATTTCAATTTAAATAATTTCTGACCGCACGATATACGATGAACGGACATGATTGAGGGATCCCTAGAGAACTGCTCAGGAGAGGATCCTGGTTCTTTCATCACAGAATAAAATATTCTATACAATTTTTAGCATCAGTACATTAATCAACAGGCACTGGCAATGATATATCCAAAATGCATGCTATGCTAGTACAAAATAGATATGTGTCAAATCATGTTCATCCGTTCTACAAGTTGAGATTTCAGAACAACTCGCTCCATCTCATATCTTTTTCTTCCCTTCAACGCAAAGGTCAAAATTTTGTTCTCTTTGCCGGAACATATAGCAGTATCAAATAGACTAATCCTCATTAATCCATAACACCTAATTAATTTGCTAAACATTCACAAGTGGAGCGGCGGCCAAGATAGAATTATAATCATGATAAACCTTCACAATCATGCTAAACCTTACAATGATTCATAAAACAATTTAGTAAAATCAGTTCTCGATGACTTTTTATAGTCTGCGATCTTCTCATAATCACATCATTATCAATGTTATTGAAGATGAATTAATGAAGGCTGTATTGTTTGTCAATTTAGAAAATTGTAAATTTGGTGTTATGAATTACCTATTTATTGATTCATAAAAGAGTTCCAAAGATGCACAAGGAAAAACTCTGAATGGGAAAGGGTATAAAAGTTTAATGCTAATTTATTTATTTAGCTTTTAGGTTTGGTAATTATAGTAGTTTTTTAAATACTATAAATATTTTAAATAATGAAGAAGGACAAAAGGTAAGAAATAATTCTACCATCCTAGGATTCTACGAGTCAACCAACAAGTAGGGTTGAAGTTGTTTTAGTGGAGCCACAGGGATAAAAATATAGACATATTGTACATAACTAATAAATTATTATATAATATGTATTATCTTAATGAGAAATATAAAAAGATCCGCTTTAAATTTCTATATCCCGAACTAACGGATCTGAAAATTCGGATCGTTCAAGAGAGAGATTCAGGACATTCAAGGGCTTGAGTTTGTGTGGAGAAATCCAATAGGTTGGGCTAATAGGTACCATAAAATTTAAAATAAGTTATCCGAATTTCCGGGTCCGTCAACTTAAGACATAAATTCAAAAGTGATCTCATATCAGTCAGATGACCATTGTGAGCCCATATTAACTCCGCCTCTAATTGACTTGTTTGTTAATGGATGACTAGCTAACTGGTCCACCTGCTTTAACCCTAACTCATTAAGGGTTAAACCCAAACATTTAAATTTTTTTATCCTTTCATGTTATGTTAATGAATCATGTAGGATATTGCCATATCTAGTTAGTGGGCCTGGCCGGTCCCGACATTTGCTTCTAATCATGCCACAAAGGCCAAACTGTGCCACGGCCACCAGCAGCAGCTAGGACTTTGAGTATTTGTTGCAAATGCATGATGGTGCAGTTTTTTTCTTTCGGTGCACACTCGAAGGCCAAAAAAAAGCTGCCAAAGTTTGCATGCGTGGACAGCGTATATCTACTTTTATTTTTTATTGCATCGCATGCACACTCAAATTTTCTCAACACGCGCAATAGTAGTAGTCTTCTTAAGAGTGTCTAGACTGCTACCTAGCTCCTTCAGCTGTCTTAGCAAACTTTGAACCGTCACTAGCTTGGAGAGTTCTAGAGTGATGGCCCTGATGGGTAGAGATTTGTCAGCATACTGGGAATGCAGCTTAGTACACTGAGTGCTCCAACTAGTTATATTATTATATTTAGTATATTAGGTCGTGTTCTTGACACATTTAAAAAATGTCTCTTGATGGTATGTAGAATGTGGCACATATATACCCAGCAAAGATTTTGTTCCTTCCTTCCTTCAGATCATATTGATCTTCATTCTTCTATATGTCTTTTGATTTAGGATCTCAATCTCTTCCTTATAAATATTTGTCCTTTATTTATCTCACCCCCTTTTCGCTCCTTTTCTTGTTGCAACTCTCTTTTTCCTTTGTGTTTGTGCATGGCTTGTTTATATTACTTCTTATTATGCAATGTCAAGGTGCCCTAGCTCAGCATGCATATAAAATAATTAGGCAATATGATATGTTATGAGATTTGAGTATAAATACAAAGCAAAACATCTCTAATGTACATGGACTTTAAAATTTAAATATGAGTTCTGAGATAAAGTGAGACCCAAATTTGTATTTTAAATGAGATTTGATTTCAAGGTGGCGCTCATGCCAACTAGGAAAAATGTTATTCAATCCCAAAAATTGAGATTTGAGTTTTGAGTCCAATAACCTCCAATGCACATAACCAAATTGTTAAAATCAAATATGAGTTTTGAGTACACACTTAATTTTACATATCACACACTCCTCTTAATTTTCAACTGATCAAATGATTTGAAGAAAATCAATGAACAAAAATCAATTATCTATCTATGATTGCCCGGTTTGGATGAAAGCATGAATTCAAACTCAATTAAGTATTAAGATTTAAGAGCCAAACCTAGCTAGCTAACTGGATCAATGATTCGTGTGAAATCAAAGCATTTGTCTGTTAAAAATTAAAAGCAAAAGAAAAGCAGACATTGAACTAACAAACTCCCAAACTTTAACCATATATAAAACAATGAAATCACCGAACCAAAAAGCTTCTTAATTACCACAATAAATCTCAGTGAAACATGGAAGACAAAACAGTGTCAGTCCTTAATCCGCAATTGTCCATGTCATGTCGTTCTCGAATATCCAGTGGCAGACTTCAATTTTTCCCGGACTGGACCCCAGTGCCACGAATGCACCATGTCCCGGACTCCACGATGACGTGTCCATGTGACAAATGGCAACACCGTGGTTGATCTTGCTCTTACTCTCCACATCAAGGATATCAGCCTCATAAACCCTAACCCTAGGCACGGAGTGGCAGTAATACAGTAAGTAGGGATACAAACTTTGATGACACGAAACCGATTTGGTTATATTTCCGCTGTTGATTCCGCTGACCGCTCCGATCATCACCTTCTGCTTTGACCCGCTCACATTTTTCGTGGTCCGGACCACCACATTGCGGTCGAGGACCGAGACTGCAAAGTCAATCATGTCCTCAACCGACCCCACGCACCGCTTGGTTTCGCCCGGGCTCGGATCCCTCTCACATTCGGCCAGCGCGTTAGTCAGCACGCGCTCCATGGCGGAGTTCTCCGGTGCGTGAAATATCTCCTTAATCTCCGACATCCTCAACGTCGAAAAAGGTAATTTCGACAAAATCCCCCGGGGTAAAAACGACCTTTCCGGCATTCGGTCCCTAATGTCGGGCATCACCATTACATTCCCCTGCCTCAACATTGATTCCCTGAAGAACTTGCCGGGCTCAACCCACCTATTTACAGCACTGCCACTAGACTCCTTTTCAGTCGAATGGGTTCCTACGCTGCTCAAATCGTTATACTCTGCAAAAGTGACGCCATTTTTGGCATACTCTTTGAAACTCCGACCCAAACCGTACGTTTTGAACCCGACGGTGGTCCGACCCTTCGACCCGGCTCCGTACTCTTTGAACGAGTCGTTTCCGGGGTTGAACGATTTCCCGTAATTCGAGAATCTCACTTTCCCGGAATTTGAATTTCTCGCGTACGACTGAAACGTATCGTCGCCGACATTCGCCCAGCTCCGGTAATTGGAGAACCCATCGAGCCCGGCATTCCCGCCGGCGCCGTAGCTCTTGAAATTGTTATGTGGGTTATTACCAGATTGCCCATACCCTGTAAACGAATCGTTTTGGCCGTTCCCGGACTCTCCGTAACCCGTGAAACCCGACCCTATTATGTTCGAACCTTCAGCGTACCTGGTGAACTGGTTCGGGTTAGAATTGCCGGATTTTCCGTAGCTGGTGAAGGATTCAGAGCCCGAGTTGGTGTCGTGGCCGTACCCGGTGAAGGAGAGACGGTGGTCGTTGGCGTTCGAGTCGTAGGATGTGAATCCGAGGCTAGGGACGTTGACTCGGTCGTCGTAGCTGGTGAACTCGCCCGAACCGCCGCCCGAGTCGGCGCCGTAGCTGGTGAAGTTGGAGTTTGCGACGTTGGCATCGTGGGCGTAGGACGTGAACTTCTCCAAGTGCGAGTGGGAGCCCTTGCTGTACTTCTTGAACGAGTCGCGGGGCGAGTTCAACTCTTCCGAGTAGTTCTTGAACGAGTCGACTCCACCGAGTTGGGAGGAGCCGTAGTTGGCGAAGTTCTTGTCGGCGTAGACGGCGAAGTTTGCGTTTTTGGGGTGGCGGGTGGCGATGTCTTGTTGGTGGGTTTCGGCGGAGGAGTCGAAGGAGCAGCAGAGGTTGGCTAGGGAGCAGAAGGAGGTGAAGTGGGAGGACAGTGAGTTTTGAGCGGCGAGTTTGGTGAGAATCGTTGAGTTGACTGGGTCGAGTTGGGAAGCTTTGGCGAAGAGGAAGGCGGGTTTTGGGAGGTTGTTGGAAATGTGGGTGTCCCAATAGCGGTTGAGTGAGGCTTTGGGAGTGAAAGGGTTGTTTGTAGTTTCATTGCTTGTGCTCGCTACTGAGACCTGCATGGACATGCAAAAATGAAGTTAATTAGGGTTTGGAAGATATATGTATGTGTGTATATAAATTTGCATGAACATGCATTATAAACTGTAAGTGAAATATGAATTTTGTTGTTTGCAATAGTTTTCTTACCTGGAAAAGTGCGAATAATAAGAAGAAGAAGAAGAGGAAGATTTTCATGTTGTGGAGGGAAGAGAGAGAGAGAGAGAGGAGTGAAAAATAGGGTTTTTCAGTGAATATATAGCTGAAGAGGTACTACAGTGGCTTGCTTTTTCTGAGTGCTATATGCTTTGCTCTGGGCAAAACTGTTGCTTTATTTCAAAAGCACTTACGCATATAGAACTGGATACATATCCAGCAATGTATAAGTCTGCACTCTGCAGATAAAAATGCAGATAAAGAAATGGTAGATGTGACATTACTAATTTGAAATTTTGAATATGCATATCGTACAAAGCACATATTAAGTAGAAGTGTTGGTTTTTCTTTTGGGAACAGCTCTCAAATATCACTAGGGGAGTGATTCCCCATTTCTCATTTTGTGTAGTCACTTTCTTTATTTTTGTCTATTGCTTTATTAATGTTAGAAAAATAAAATTAAAGGAAAAAGGAGAACGAAAACTCTAGAGGAAGAGGGGAGGAGAAAACCCCTCATTGTTCTTGTTCATATTTTTCGTAATAATAACTAGTTTCTTGTGGGACTTAATCTGAGTCTTTGCCAATTTTCAATTCACAATCACTTTTTTTTTTGTTCTGACAAAAAAAAAAAAAAAAGTCACCTCCTTGCTCATCCCTCATTTTCATCATTCTCCAAAAACGCTTTCTCAAAATTTCCACCTCAAAGTTGAAGGACTTCATTATGATTTGCCCTTGTGATTTTGGCCGACCTTGTTGATGATGACTCTTAGCTGCTATTATGCGTAGATGAATCATTGGAGATTGATCTTCTTCGTATCTGTCATTATTCAACAAGTTCTTCTTGCCTGGATCTAGTGTTTAAAATATCAATAAAAGTGTCAATATTTTCGTCGAAATATTTGAAAGTCAAGGATTGATATGGAAAGGGGGATGAAATTTAGGTGAAATGCTATCGATGATATCAATACATAAAATTTTGTTTGAACCCATTGCAGAGTCCAAACTTTTAAATTTTTTTGAGAATTACCCATTGCAAATTTTCAAAATTTTCGTTAAAGGCAACGGATATTGATATATTCATCGATAATTCTAAAAATTTGCATATCACTATTTCAACCTATATTGCTATTTTAAACACTGCCTTAGATCCGGTGGAATCTATGGTGTACTTTTGATTCATGGTGGTAGTTATAGTTTAGGCTATGATTCAATTTAGTGTTTTGGTTGTTTTGAGCTGTGTTGGTTTGAACACGAACTATGCTAAATTTTGGTGTAGTGAATTTTTTAGTTGCTTGTGCCAGTGTTGAATGCATTAGTTTAGTCTTTTGAGGTTATTAATTTTGCAGTCATGTTAAAATATCTGTCTTGTGCATGACTTTAATGTAAAATGTTAGAAAAAGAAAATGAAAGAGCGCCAAGTAAAAAAAGGGTGTGTGGATAAAGAGTGCCAAGTAAAAAAAAGGGTGTGCTATCCACACACTTCTTTTTACTTATCACACATCACTTGTTAATTTATATCCGTTGATCTTCTTCAATTTATCTGATCCGACAGCCGAAAACTAAAACAGTGTGAGAGAAGTAAAAAGGGATGTGTGGTTATCACATTCCTAAAAAAAAGAGACTAAGACAATCACTTCTTATATCACTACCAGTATAACAACAACATATTGATTACTTTATTTGAGACTATTTGTTATCAATACAATAAGATACTATTAACAACTTTTGAGTTGATAACGATTCGACTATCCTTCATTCAAATAGTAATATTTGAAGAGTACTTAGTGTTATTCACATTTTTTTTTTTCACTTCAAACACACCATTGTTAATTTGTGTTCATTTATTTTGTTTAATTTATTTGATGAAACGGTTAAAATTTAAAAATAATACGTAAGAAATAAAAATAAATGTGTGAATATCATCAACCTATCTAAAGACACTCTCCGTTTCATGTTTTCCTAAATTGAAGAGTGAAACCTGGAAAAAGGTGTGGCCTACTTCATATAGGGTTTTAGGAAATCAAGAGTATATATATATTTAATCTTGTGCATGTGGACAGGAGCAACTGGCTCGTTCCAGAGAACCATGTCATTGTGGATATATTTTTTAATGTGATCAGAACACAAAATGTTACATTATATGTCATTATATAATTAATAAGATATATGTATTAAAATTTTAATAACTTAAAAAATAAAAAATTTCATCACTTATATAAAAATGCAGGATATACAACCTGTGTTCCAATCACAATGAAAATTTTCTAGTCATTGTGTCTTCACGCTTGACAGATCTCAGTTATGGAAAACAGGAGTGAGATTTATATAACCATATTCAAGGGGAGAGGGACTCGAACATCGAAAGGATACCTGCAGGCTGCTGCGAGTTTATAATACTACCAAGGCAAAGATGCTTCATATTTTTGGCCTCAGTAGCCCACTAATTTTGTGCAGCGTGCATTTCAGTTCCTAGTCCCAGCTATCTAGGAACTCATTTGCTGGCACTATGTATATATAAAACATCAGTAGCCAACAAATACATCTAGTTAATTAGAAGCTACAGCTACAAATTCTTATTATTTTTCTTGTTGGATTAAGAGGCCAGTACTTTGTTTTTTGTTATAAACAAAGGGGTTATTCACTTGGCAATTTCTATGAGATCATTTCTAAAAAGTTGTAAGCAACAAGTAGCCACTTTTTTAGTACATTCAATCTGTGTTTTTATAACCAACGAACGAAGGTTTTCTTTTATTACGAGCTTGGAGCTAACGGAAGATTTGGCATAAAATTGTGTGCAATAGCATTTTAGAATTCACATACACTTCGCTTAGTGGGATAAAACTTGGTTGTTGTTGTTGTGGAGTTTGATGGGAAAATGTTGACTAGATGCACTTTGTTTGCTGGGAATTCAAATCTTCTGCACTTATTTTGTATGTAGTCTCTCTTTGGCTTCTATCATCAGATGGAAAATTGTTGACTAGATGCACTTGATTTGCTGGTGGCGCTCATTCATGTGGTGGTGGTTTTTAGGTTTTAATTAGGGTGTTTTAAGTTGTGTACGTTGATAAGAGATTAAACTTGATTATTGTCATGTAAGTTTTATAGTTGTTAATGCAATTTTTGTTTATGTTAATTTTGCCCTTATGAATTTATTGTTTTTATTTGCCATCGTCTTGTACACATGTTTGGTGTACTTTCACAAGTTAGTAAATAAAATTTGTATCTTTTGATTAAAAGATTCTAAATCTAAACAAGTGAAAATAGATGTCACAGATTAACATGACACGAACCTTTAGATTAATGGGTCCAAACGTTATCAATAAGACTTGATAAACCTGACTTATGCACCAAAGAGTTCATGCAATTTCGTATCGTGTTAACGACTTATGTACAATATCGCATAGATTTACATGTTCGAGGGAGACAAAGGCAGTAGTGGGCTGAGCTGGAGACTTGAATGTTTAGGACCTGTATTTTCTGGGCTTGGTGCTGACAAAATATTGGGCTGGATGTAAACTACATGTCGTTCCAGATCCAATTGGTCGCGTATATCGGCTTGGATTTGGTTGGAGGAAGTGAAAACTGTCAGAGAAATAGAGCAAAGGGTGAAAATTTTCATTGTGAACAGAAAATATGAAGTACATCACGTGTTTATATAAATAGTAAAAAAAATTATTTTTTAAATTATTAACATTTTAACACACATATCTTACTATTTATATAATAACAAATGATACCGTTTGTTTCCGATCATACTGCAAAATTTATCCGAGTTAAGTTTGTTAATGTTGGAAGCTAACCAGCTCCTGGAGTCGGGGAGTCGAAGGCAGCAAGATACTCCCGAGCAAAAGGATGTCATCTGCATCGAAGAAGAAGAAAGAAAATGAAGGGCTCTAGTCTCCAACGGCTAGTTTTGTTTTTTAAATGTTTGTGTAAGTGTGTGAGTGACAAGTGTACACTCCAGATTAAATCACTTAACCCCAAATGAAGGGTTAGGATGTAATCTGGAGTAGTAAGGCTTAATGGTTGTTAAAGCCTCTTGTCAATCACCTTTTTAGATAAGTATGGGTGATGGAAATGCACCATACTCTTGTGTAATGTTCACACTACTTATTCAATCAAGTCTGCTGCATTATTGCACAACAGAAATCAATCTCCAATTTTTCCTTTTTTGTTTTTCAATTCTCTACTATCCTCCCAAGAAACCGATTCAAACACTCAATCAAAAACACAAAACAAACAAATTCTATCATGGCCTCAGAGCTTTGTTACTGATCTTACAACTTTTGGGGCGTAATCTGTGCAAGATAAGATCTTTGGGAGCACCAACGTAGTGTCTTCTATAACAACAATCAACAAACAATTCTGGAAATGAAAGGATCCAGCAGTAGCAGTGAGCTAAAAGCTCCAGTCTTTGATGGGGAAAATTATGATTTTTGGAGAATAAGAATGACAACCATTTTCAAATCCTATGATCTATGGGATATGGTTCAACATGGGTATGAACTACCTGAGATGGAGATCGATGCTCTAGAGGAGGATCTCACAGAAACACAACTCAAAACACTGAAGCAGAATCGGATGGAGGATGCTAGAGCACTTGGAATCATTCAAGGTGCTGTCTCAGACACCATTTTTCCGAGGATAGCAAATGAAGAGACTGCAAAGGGAGCTTGGGAAGTTTTACAGCAAGAATACAGAGGAGACACCAAAGTTAGAAAGGTAAAACTTCAGTCCCTTAGAAGAGATTTTAAGTATACAAGAATGAGGGGAAATGAGCTGCTAAAAGACTACTTCACTAGGCTGTTTGATGTTGTAAACAAGATGAAAACATATGGTGAGGAACTGCCTAATGAAAGAATTGTCCAAAAACAGTTGATTAGTTTGACTAAACCCTATGATTCAATAGTGAGTGTTATAGAAGAAACCAAAGACACTGAAACTCTCAGTGTACAAGAAGTGATGGCATCCTTAAGAGCTTTTGATCAAAGGCTCGAGAGGCATGCTAACTCTGCACCTGAGAAAGCCTTTCAAACACTCAATGTTGGATCTAGTAGTCAAGCCAGTGCAAGCAATCAGAAACCACAGTGGAAGGGCAAAAGCAAGAAATGGGAAGGAAAAGGGTATCACAACTCAAAACCTAACCAAGGCAGCAATACAAATGTAGGTCCAAGAACCAAGCAACAATGCAAGCACTGTGATAAATTCCACCT